GACTATGCACTTGTCATCTGCAATCTTGACTTTATAGGAAAATACACATTAATAAAAGAAAAATGTAAATGTATAATTCCAGTAGCATCTATTAATTCAACAGTGAATTCTGTTGGTTGATATATAATCTTGAGATTCAATAATCTTAACACATACAATTTGCATGCTAGAGCACACATTTCTTCATATCACAATCATCTGTGCAGGAAGTTCTCTTGAACACAGTCTTCAAAATGCAACACATTTCAAATTGCAAGTCCCATATCTTAACTAAAAGATAAGTTTAATTTAAAGATCCTTTGCTTGTTCAAACTTTAGAGGTCTTCTAGGCCAGTCTGTTTTCTCCATTGCCCTTGTGCTTGATGCATAATACTTTTTCAATTTCTCAAGTGTTGGGTTCATATTTACAAAAATCCATTCTTTGACTGTGTATTCATCAAATACATCTGAGAGGGCTGTTTCAGCATCCTTCATCAACTTGTTATAATCAAACAAAAGCATTGACAAATCCTGTAAACCTTGCTCCACATGCTGAGGACTGGCAAAATTATTTTCAATGTTATAGTCAGTGACCCAGCCAGTTACATGAGGATTATGCAACATTACATCTATGTCTCTTTTCAAAATATACAATCTCTGAGACACTTCATAGACTGCACTTCCAGGGAAATCACATTTGTTGGGATACTCCAGGTATTGAAGATCAAGATTCAGAAATGAGCTGCATTTTAGTACATCTCCTACACGTGCCAGAGCTCCGTGATCTGCTTTCTGCTCTGCAATGTACATGAGATTAACAGCAAGAGATGGAATTGCTTGAGGAAGCAGCTCACATAATATAGAGAAGTGATCAAACCTCTGCCATCCAGTGAGCACAATACCACGGAAAGGAATGGTGCTCTTATACATGCCTAGAACTTCCATCCATTCTTTTGTGGTTTTAGTCAGATCGGTCATTGATGATTTGAAAAATATAACTCTCTGGATCTGTTCACTTCATAACATTGCACTAGCAACACACAAATTCCAATCGAAGAACTGCTGAATATTTAATTCCCAAATGCATCTGCACAAGAACAGCGTCACACCATATATATTATTAGTATTTACCATAATCCATAATCTCTAGCAGCTGCCCAACCTGAGCATTCTGGATTGCCCTCAAAAAGGAACCTTTCCTAAAATCATCCACATATGTCTGAATATCATGAGTTTCTTTTACATATCTGGCAACAGTTTTAACATAGATGCAAAATATAATAGTTTCTTTTACTTATTTCTGGAATTTATCATTATATATTATATAAGTCATATAAATTGCACTATGAGCTGGTATCACACTCTCTCCAAGGTTGTACACTTCATCTGAGCCAATGTGGAGCCAGTTTAAGTTCTAGGATGCATTTCACAATCTGATCAATATCATCATTCTAATCAGTGGAATAGTTTTATTATTTGTAGGTAACAAATAACCTGAGGATAATTTTTGGAACTTCTCTCGAAGATTCTGCAAATTCTTTTAGCTTTAACACGTATATCCATGTGGCCAAAGGTATTGGATTAATTGGATTATCGTAACTCAAGATTATTCTTCTTTGCAACTTCAAGCATGTCTGCAATGTCCCCTTTGGCATAGGCATTATGAGCAGAAAGAGACTCTAACTTTCCCCAATATGGAAACAATATTCACCATACTACAATAAGCAGTCATATGTCACACTAAAAGAGCTCAGGAGTGGGAAAAAAGAGTTAGTATATTATCACAATACCTGATATGATAGATAAAGATCTATGGAGTAGGATAGAGCTGACTCGACCTTGATTAAAATGATATAAGAGGAGACAATCCATGGCATCTGAAGGGGCAATTAGTAGATATGCACTCAATATCAAGGATATGACAAAGCTGGAGGAGCCGTAATTAGCTGCTGCATCTACATGCTTATCCTACAATCACCTTATGCCAGGACCTTCCTAGCACTTGGCTTTTGTGGAGTACGAATACACCAATAGGGATCATGATTAATTTATTCGACCTTATCATTTACTTTTATCTCACAGCTTATGTATCATCTTATGGATTTTGGCAAAGATTATTGGCTTATTCTTACATATTTACCTTCTTGATTATATCTTTATATTATCTTGAGACTTAGGACGTTAATAATAATCTAGGAAGAATATCATCAGAAGGTCAGGGACCAGATTATGTTATGGGCAATACCCTCGCCTGACGAATGGTTCAGGCACATCCATCTTAGGACACTAAGTTATGTGAGATGAACTATTGAGATTACATACGTACAGACATTAATATCAACGCACACAGCAAACGATGCGAGCCATGATATGTTACGAAACTCCACACCGTGCGCCGTGATTCTCCTTGGAAACATTTTGAAACAATTAAAGCAACCGGTGTATGAGTATATTATGAGTATCTAAGAACCAGGCATCGTCTCTATGTCAACCACGTGTACGTACTGTAAACTGAGAACGGTCCACACCCTCATTGAACACGACAACAGATGATGAGCAAATAAAAACGCTAGCTTAGCTAATTCCTCTCACAGCTTTCCTTATCTTCAAACATAAATTATCCTTGGAACTTACATAGACTAAACTCTTCGCTGATCTCAATGAGATTAATTGAAAAAGAATAAAGATGATTGCAGAGTCATTAAAAGTAATTTCTCAAACACTGTCACTTTCCACTTCATCCGTCTCGCGAACTCTTTACACTCCATTGAGTATTTCATGAGTAACAAGATGACAAAGTTTCTTGATCACGAAAATTCAATAGAACTATGAAGTAATAAACCCTGAGGTACGACACATAACGTTAAATACACTGATGATAGAGTGCATGTGAATAATCATGAAAAACCATATCACTCGTTCCTCTAGTTTTAATCCTTTACACTTTACAATAAAATAAATCTTAATTATGAAATAATTGTAAACTGATAACAGGATAGATTTTAGAGAGATCCCTATTTATTGTTTTAATATCAATCGAATGGATTTTAAGTCTTAATATAACTTACTCTATACTCCGATCAAATAGGTTCTCTGACTTACATACACCTATGTCGCTGGATTCAGTCAATAGTAAGGATGTGTGCAAATCGCATTATATATCTGACGTTCTTCGTCACAAGTAGTTGTCATAACATCAACAAGCTGCTCCACTTTATAGAGTGGTGTAGTGGTACTGAGTGTGTTCAGAATGCGTGATTGCTTTAATTTTCCCGCTCTTTCGCACATTTATCGAGCAGATGCGAGGTTGTTGGCAGAGAGAAATGAGAAAATATCCACAGATCTTCGATGAGAGGTGAAGATATATAATCAGCCATTGTAACAATACTCACAATTTCAATATATTCACAACAAATAAAGGTGCCTTTCTTTCAAACAAATATTTCAAGAACTGATTTATTCTTATACTAATTTAAACTATGATCTAATTTCCTCTCACATATGTTTAGTGAAATCATAATATATATATATATATATATATTATAAATATCATCCAATTATTTCCTAGATCTATATACTAATAAGGCGCACATTCTCACTATATACAAACTATCACACTATATCAACTTTTATTAGACAAAGTATTATACTAGGAAGTCTACACTTGTATAGTAAATTTTATACGTTGAATTGAAAAGTGAATTTGTTAGTGTATGAGGAATCTTAAGTGTTCGTATAGTAGAGTTAGGTTATTTATTGTCCTTTACTATATTGGGATATCACATGAGCTAACTGGATATTGCACGTTAACCGACAATTTAAGTAAGCGAATATATATGAAAACTGTGTTGACTAGAATCTGAAAAGAATCGAAGGGACACTGAATAGGGTGGCCAATGGAGATATAGGAATTAGATATAACGTGAATCCTAAAATCAGGGATCGTAATGCAGACAAGGACGGAAGAGAACTGAGGAGGAGACCATATATAAATGCAATTATCTGCTGACGAGACCAGCACAAATGAACAATAGGTTGCATCGATCATCTTGTTAGCTACGCACTCCGGAGGAGAAATTACGCTAGCGTCTCCCTCTTCCCCCTTCCCTATGCTGGATTTGCCTTCGTCGCTTCTTAACTATCACAGAGTATTTTCCCAGAACTGATGAAAATAATATTCACATATTATAATCACACCTAGTGGTAGAATTTCTTGTTTCTCTCTAGAGAAAATTCACAAGTAGACATCCTAGAACATTCAAGGGAAATAGTAGTTAGGTTCTCTCAGTCTGCCCTAATGCTACTCAATCTCACCTCCTAATCTCTTCTCCCTCTTCTTTTCTTTGAATTGTACTTCTTCTATGCTATTCCATATTGGATACGTTATTGTTTAATACTGTGACATCACTGATTATCATACGTTGATATCAAAATATATAATAACAATCAAAATAATGAGACTAGAAGCTTTCCAAAAATCAGAAGGGTCAAAAGGTGAATACTCACGATAGTAACTAATGACTGACACCTGTAGCTAGCATTGTCGAGTCTCCCTCTCTTTATAGATACAATTTAACAACAATTAACCTATCATATCTTGGATGACGTGACCGATCTAATCATCTTCCGATTCTCTCGGAGTATAAATAGTTTTGAGCTGAGGGTAACATTACATCAAAAAATTTATTGGCTTAAGGCAGGAATAGTATCAGATAGATACTCCCTATATTAAGTGTCACTAAAGCTACTAGAGGTGAATAGCTCAGTTGGGGCATTTATAGGAAAGGTAATTTATTGCAATTATTATTATTGATAAAAGAGTGTTGAGAATGTTAACTTAATACTGTGAGCCGAAAGTACTGAGGAAAAAGGATAACGAGAGGTCACGAGGGAGAGGAACTGATGTATGATTTCAGTATATGCGAGAGGAAGATCGCAGATACACTACACGAGAGGCTCATTGACTGGTAGCTCAAGATGCATTACAGAAAATTGAATATTATGAAAAAAAAATAAATGTAAAAAGTAAATATAGAGATATGTAAATAAACAGATATAAAAAATTGTATAGCTCTTTACATTGTTATACATTACTTAGTCATTGAGATCTTTTACTAAGTAGTCACAATCTGATTATCTATTACTTATGTTAAATGCAATATCTAGAAAATCTTAATACACCTTAGTAAGGTACACACACATACAACACAAGTTTTCGTGTGCGCTGGCCTAAAACCGCACACTTGTCAGAGTAGCTGCTCAAGTAAGGCCTAGATGCAAGCTGCAACAGCTCACAAGTTAGTATTATACAGAAAATGATCAATAAAATGTTAATTATATATAATATATTATTATTTATTATAAACTGTTTAATCATAAACGATTCACATGAGTTTATCAATGGTAGCTTTCAATGTACACCTCACAGCCTAAACGCTGTATATATCTATCAATAAGCTAGACGCGCTATAATAGCCTTTTAATCAATGTATTTAAAATGTAGGCCACATGTGGGCCCAGTGGAAACAAATCCAAATTCCTCAAAGGAGTTAATATAATAACTATAATATAGATTATAAAATGGAAGATAAGTATGAATTTTTGACCACTGAGTGGGTTAAATATGGATGCATATTAAATTTGAATTGCCAAAAATTGTTGCTAGATCAGAGAAAAGGCTCCATTAATCGACCTCAAACAATAAATGAACACTATATAACTGCTAAAGTCATGAATTTTAACAATATCACTAATACCTACTAGTAAGCACAATCTATCAGATTGAAAAGAATTTATTTGATTTCTAAATTAGGACTTTTATAGTGTTAATGAGTATACATAGTAAAAGTTAACAAACAGGCTCTCATATAATAAATGCTAATATAATAGACTAAAAGGTCTATACGTATTAAAACATCACACTATCAACTAATTATATTTTATAGAAGTATGTATAACTAAAAGTTATTACATAATAAAAAC